AAGCCCTCGGTAAAACAAGAGAGGAATTAATTAATAAATCAAAACCAAAGGCAGCTGCGAATACTGAAAACCAACCGGTAAGATTCATAACTAAATTTGGACAACAATGGGATGAAGTTAAGAAGGCCCTGGACTCCCATTGGCATTTACTAATTCAAAATCCGCAGATAGCGAAAGTGGTGGGAGAGAGTCCACACATGGTGGCAAAAACGAACTCGGAATCTAAATGATATATTAGTACAATCAGAATTTCAGAGGGCACCACAGAGAAACTGGCTAACTAGGAAGACTGGCGTATATGGTATGTTTCCATGTGGTCATTGTCAGATTTGTCCATTTGTACATAAGTCTAATCAGTTTTTCAACAATGATAACTCTAGGACATTTCAAATACGAAGCTTCATTAATTGTTCTAGTAGTAAAATGATATACATGATAGAATGTCCATGTAAAAAGATATATATAGGTAAAACCAAAAGAAGCCTTAGGACTAGGATCGGCGAACATCTGAGAGACATTAGAAATGAAAATAGGAATGTAAGAAAGGGAGAAAAAAAGTGAACCCACTGGCGCAACACTTTAAAGAAGTACACGGGGGTAAAACAGATGGTCTAAAAGTAAAAGGGATCTTTCTGCTGAATATTTCGGCTCGTCGGGGTGACTTTGATAAAGTCCTCCTACAAAAAGAAAAATTCTGGATTTATACCCTAGGGGCACTGTCCCATCTGGATTAAACACGGAACTCAACTTTGGGGTGTTTTTGAAATGAATTCCCCTGAACTCTCTATATACCCTGAGTTATAATCAACATTGCGATATCCTATATATGAACTAAATATGGGCCTCTGTGGACAAAATATGAACCTAATTGTTCAACCTTTTCTACTCTTATTAGGTGGTGAGCATATAGAATAATAGGACTGATTTTGAAATTCTGGTAGCTGGACTTGGTTTTGATGTTTCCCTATGTGAACGTGAAATATGTTAATAATAATCTCCTGTTTATCATTCTTTTGGAAGATAATTTGATCTATAGTAATTAGGCTCCTCTTCTACATCCAGCAATCATTTTAAAATTCAAGATATGTGTTTTAATTCATTTTTGGACATTCCCATGTAGTGATATTCTTTCAACACAAGATGGCGAGGTGGAGACTTTCTGGTATGCAATTAGTGCACCATATATAAGGCAAAGGATTGAAGTCCCCTCCCAGTTCTGACGAAGTCTGCGGTGATTGGCGGACGAAACGCGTCAACGTATTGACGTCACTACGCTCGGCGTCTTTCACAGGGTGCGGCGCCCACGAGGGGGGGAAGGAACGGCGGTGTCACAGCTCCCTGTTAGGTAGGCCCCCAAGACCCTCTGAGAACTACCAGTGGGCTACTATCACAGCGGTTCGCAAACGGCAATCCCTCAGGGAAACATATCTTCCACTCTCTAGTGGCAAGTTATTTAAAAGCTTACGGCTGTTGAGATTTACAGAGCCTACATGGCGTTTCTAGGGCATGATTCATGGGCCTAATTTACCCTGTATACTCGGGGAATTTTTTGGAATTCCTCTCAGGAGGAGAATCTACATATATATATATAGAATATACGCTATCCTACTCAGGTATTTTTTGCTGTGACATAGCCACATCCTTATAAAACCGCAAATAACCTTCTCAAATTGAGCAATTTTTGGAAACCCTTTATTGGGTATATTAAACTCAGGTTCTACGGCCTGCTATATGCTATATACACATTATATGTGCTTGAAATCCACGCATCGTGTATACCTGGTCCCTCACCCCCATATGCATCTTTGAAAAAGCATCAAGGACCTGATCTTAGTTCAAGTCGACAAGAGTCTTCTTGATCCTCATTGATGGTAATATATCCACATTTTTATATATGTTTTGTTTTCGGGGTACCCTGATGCCCAAGATCTACACATTTAATAATTTTTCTATGTATATCCTCAGAATCATTTGGTACTGTGGACCTTGTTCCATTTGGGGTGGCTATCCAGGAAGTCCCTACACTTGAGAGGCGGGTATGATAGTTTCACCTTTGAGAAGGTAACAGCAGTATCCATTGACTATTGTGGAGGGAGGTCTGGTTAATTTTGGATGTGATTTGGTCTCCATATTGCTAGATACATACCATGTATTTTTGTGTTCCAGCTTGTACATTCCAGGAGGTCCCTGATATACACTGGGAACACACCCACTGAATACACGGCTCACACAAATATTAAGCAGGAAACCTACGGAAATCCAGGATAATTATTTCATCATTACACCACTCTGCCTTATATGGTGCTCTGTTGGCTAAGATGACCCTAAATTGAAGACGCTAAGTGTTTTTTAACATGATTTTATTTTTTTCATATGTACACCGTGCTCATGTTTAACCTCCCTATGATCTATGTGATCAAATAAAGTATTGTTAAATTCATTTGAATTCACACTACTCCGCGTGGATTACTTAGAAACCTTCTTTTTTTTAGATAGGTGTGTTCTTGTCACACTGGAGACCAGATATAGTGAATACAGAGTCCTGGGTTTAGTAACACTTCAAGGAATGTGCTCTGGCATATTTAAGGGAGTGTAGGCTGTACACTTGTCCCCCTCCTTACCTGACCAGCCAGGCTGCATGCTCAAATAAGGTTCTGGTATGGAATTTGGGAGGACCCAATAGCTGTTTATGTATGCCTGCACCACCAATAAAATGGCGCCATTCTATAAGAGACATTTCCTGTAGGTCAGAGTATGATTCACACTGACTTGCATTGATATACATTTGAAAACTGCCAACAAAATGGCGTCGCCCTGTGGTGGATATCATTGTAAACCGGATATCCACGGCAAAATGGCGCCGGCGTTCCGCGCATGTGCCGATCGTCGGGGAAAATGGCCGCCGCGATAATCGCTGGCGCCTTTTCCACAAAGTTTTGGGCATATATACTGCTGGTTTGGCGTCCCCCTATGCAAGCCCAGGACCCTTTGATAACGTGCACTGCACGAAACGCGTCAGGGGGGCTGCATTATCTGGACGTCTGACCACCGCTGGTGGTCATCCTTTACAGTATCTGGTCAGTGTTCTATTCTATTTACTGCTTTGTATTCATTTTCATGCTGCATCTTCAATAAACCTAGCTCATACGGTATTACACTATGTGGTGTCCCTTATTGGGCTCTCTTCTATGAGAGTCCCCACTTGCAGAATCTGCCTTAAAAGGGGACCCCGGATGGTGATATGCCTGAGATGCGCTTATGAAATTTGAAGCACATACCCAAGGGACGATCTGGAAGGTGTAGGATTCTATCTCTATCTTGGCAACGGATGATCGTTTTCTGATATTACAGGATAAAACCCACATGCGTTTTTTTGACGCACTTCTGGTGAGTGCGTAATTCTTACCTCAGAGTCACCGTGTGCTGCACAGAATCTTATCCCACGCACCTATTAGGATCGTTTGGATCCCCACTTCTGATTTATTTTAAGACTATTATTCATCTCATCTAACTTCACCGCAGTGTGATTTGATATTGGCACTTTTGTGTTTCATATGTTATTATAGCGCTGCACCTTATATATGGTCTTTATATATATATGTTTATGTATTTTTATTGAAGGTTTTCTATTGGTTACCTTTTGGTGTTCTAGCTGCTTTCAGATTTCCGGATAGCGCTCGCTTTTATTTAATTATTTTTTATAGGCTGTACACTTGTCCCCCTCCTTACCTGACCAGCCAGGCTGCATGCTCAAATAAGGTTCTGGTATGGAATTTGGGAGGACCCAATAGCAGTTTTTTTAGTTTTTTTTATGGGGCCCCCCTCAAAATCTATACCAGACCTAAACTGTAAGAATTCTCAAGAAGACCTCATGCTTTTCTTTTTTTTTTTTTTTACTACACTATCCCTGCTGTTAGTTTACATTTACTGGCTAGTTGGGAATCCGTGGCTGACAGCTGAAAGTGTTGGGCAGGGATGAGTCCCTGGTTGTTAGGACACTGGCAGTTACAGCCTCCCCTAAAAAACAGGTAACAATACCACTGCTAAAAGTTTGGCTTCACTCTGCATCTGGAGGTTTGTTTGGTTGCACAAAATTCTCCATAGACTGCACACAGTGCAGAATTCCCCTTTGAATTGCATCCTGATTGAATGTTCTTAGCCTATTGACTTTCATGGTTGATTGTTCTTCAGCTTCTTAACTCTTAAGATTGAATACTAGGGGTTGAAACACAACACGGAAACTATACACATGTATTACAAATATTGCATGAATGTTGAAATATTCTCTTACAGATTTTTTTTATAAATGTATTTAAATTTGTAAGGAATAAATAGCAAAGAAAAATAAAGAACTAATTGATTGCTAATTTTATAAACATTTATTGTTACTATTTTAATAAAAATATTCATTGTAACATATTTTTGTTATTTAAGTTTAATTCCTGAATATTTATTTAAGTTGTACTAATTTGTTATTGTGTTAAATACACCCCTTACTACACATGTTATGTTTGCACTTGCAGTTTCCACTGAAAAGACAGATATTATTCCATCATTTGCCATATTTTTGCCACATTTGGCAAGAGTAAGAGAATCACAACCCTTCTCAAATCTTTCAGCAATAATTGTATTACTTGGCCTTAAATTCACAGCTTTTTAAATTGCTGCAAAAATAAATCAAATCAGACTGGATTCAACCGTTTTATAAACAGGCCCCTAAAACCGATGAGTCAATAAAAAATCCTATGTCCGCCATGCATTGAGTAATTTGTCCTTGTTACCCAACAGGCCTCTTCGGTTGTTTGATATGTTCAATGCATTCCTGGCACGTTATTTATTTCCTAGTGTATTGCACCTGTCTCTGCCTGTCTGCATTGCCAGCTCGCATTTCTCTTCCATAGTCCTTAACATGAGTTTGCTGGTGTGGAGGAAGGGCAGCGACAAGGGACAAGCTATGCTTTCTGTATACTGAGTGGGGAACAGCAAAGGAATTGTGGACTATGGCATGGATTTGGCTTATTGTCACTTTAAACTTAGCCTTCTGCTCCACAGGTAGGTTATGGCAGTTCTTCTATCTCTGCTAAGCTCGCTGTACATTATTGGTCTTTTGTAAATTAATATTCCCTAATTCCACAGTACTGTTTTAGATCATTCACTGTAAATGTTTGAATTCTACTGTGCTGTGCTTATTAATATACCCGGCATATCTCTCCATCCCTCTTCTTTTATGAGCACTATTTCTATTTTAATATCTCTTTATCAAACTGAAAGTGTATAAAGGTAAAGCTAAGGGTGCTTATAGACACAAGAAAAACTTTACCCAGTTATGGCTAGATTGCATACCAGTTTTTTGCTAGTGCACCATAATTGGCACCAGCAGAAAAATCAGGGGTGAGCATTGTTATGAGACAGCCAGATTGAATCTATTCCAGATGATCACTATCGTTTTTTTCAGTATTCATTCACTTCCATCTTCCTTGCTCCTTCATAGGGCAGATAAGAACATTTATTATTAGTTTTTCATGTATGCATATTTCTTCAAATTAAAACCATTTAGTGAACGGATCATGCATGCACATCTGGCTACAATCTGATGTTAGTAGATAGCTTAGCTATTTAGCGACATAATTATTATTATTATACAGGATTTATATAGCGCCAACAGTTTGCACAGCACTGTACAATATAATAAGATTTAACACTATTTCCAATACCTAAGTACTTGAAACACTCTGTAGTGATCCTAAATTTTCATTTTTCTCTCCTTGCCAGATGTCTTTTGTCTTCGTACTGCTTTCACTAGCTCATTCTTGTGATTGTTCAGTAATTTGTATACTGCACACGGACATGATACTGAATGTGCCTATGTGAACAAAGTGACTCCCTTTGTATATAGATTACCAAACAAGTGACAACTAATATGTGTGAAAGACATAATTACAGATATTGAGCCATAAACCTTTTCCAGTATGAAAATGATTTGCACCCTAAGACCCCTTTCACACGGATGGTTAGATTTCAGCTATTAACCTATGTGATAAAAGTGCAGTACTGCACTTTTATCACATACGTTTATATATTGGGACTGTTGCCTATATCCTGAGTTCCAGCAGCGATTCTTTACTAACTATTCATATATAATTATTCTTCAGTGCTAGCTTATTTACTCTCTATAGATTTCAGCTATTAGCTGCGGTGAGAGGAACTTACCACAGCTAAATGCAGACAATGGTCATAAAGTGCAGCGCTGTACAAATAAATATGTATAAAATTACCAATGAACTGAATCCGGTAATGCGACTTCAATAAATATAAAGTGCAGAAAGGATGTAAATGTTGCCACAATGAATACACTAAATATTTGCATATAAAGTGCAAAAAAAACTATTAAAGCCACAGATGAGTGATTAAAGTGGAATAAATATCAAAAGTCCAGGTGATAACTTGAGGATTGTAGCAGGTGTGGACTCAAAGTGCTCTATTCCTCTAAATCTGAAGTGATAGGTGACATAGTTGAAAATAAATAAATTGCGCACTCACCAAAAGTGCGCAATAAATGCGCGTTTGAGATCACTACTAGTCTCAATCGGTCAGCCAGATCACTCATTCACAGGTAAGGTCAGGTTGTTGCTCCAGTTCTCTTCAAGGACCCTCAAAACGGTATCACTGCCTCAGGATACTGCTAAAAAGGAGTCTGCGAGTGGTGAAACTCACAGAAAGCCCAAAAATAATGCCACATAGCGTGATACTGTATTTCAAATGGGGTGTTTATTCCAAATAGGGTACAAGCAAGGAGAATAAAAACCACTGACCCATGAAGGCAAAGATGGTCGCCTGGGCCAGCGTGACATCTGGATGCTGTAGCCCCTTTCACTGACGCGTTTCGTGCTAAGCAGTTAATCACAGGGTGCAGGCATTACAGCATCAGACGTTTCCTCAGTCTTATTTATAGCAAGAAATGGCGAGCACACGTTATTGCGCCCGCCATCTTGCCGGCTATCCGGCGCATGCACAGTGCGCTGGTGCCATTTTGTTGTAGATCAAATATTCGCACAAAGTCCAAAAAAGCATGCATGCGCACAACAGCGAGGAACTGGACACTGAGGAATCAATGAAGCATGCGCGCATGACGGCGCCATTTTGTTGGCTATCAGAATTAATGACAGGACGATACGCTTACCAGAGTAAAGTAGGATATGAAAAAAGGTTCAATAAAAGAGTGGGATAAATTTCGGCATTTATCCTAAATGTATTAAGGGAGCTGGGGAGTTGTGCTAATAAGTTTCCCAATGTTAATAGGAGATCCTGCATTTTCTCAAAAACTGCTATTAAACAGTATGTCCCTCCCTTCATACATATACAATCAAGTGGTGAAATGCATGTAGGTATTGACATAAAATCACGTAAACGATAACAATATTTATAAATCTCATAAATACACACATGTTACTATATGATAAAATATAGTAAAATTTGCAATAATAATGTGCATATAGATAAGAACAACACAATAAGAGTAATCATAAAAATATACAAATAAGTCAATGATAATGTAAAATTGTCCAATCTGAAAGGTCCACTGTATGTGTGATATATAACGTATATAAAAAGGACCACTAAAACATATAATAATGTAGTCCTAAAACCATGTAAGATTAGCAATGACAAAGAACCATTATACCACTGAATATTAATACCAGCAAAACTAGGTGTAAACTGCCAAGAAAACATAAATGGTTAAAATCTGAGAGAAGAAGAATCTCTATTAGGCAGCAGTAGGCATGTAGTCTACTTATTACAGTGCCCATGTAATACGCAATACATTGGACGTACTACGAGAAGACTTAGGGACAGATTGAGGGAACACGTTAGTAACATCAAAAAAGGGTTCAAGGAACATTCCCTCTCCCAACACTACCGTATCTGTCATAATAGTGATTCTTCTTTTCTCAGATTTATGGGTATCGGCATTATTAGAACCCATTGGAGGGGTTTAAACAAAAAACGTGCTATCTCACAACTAGAATCTAAGTGGATCTTCGATATAGGTTCTCTACATCCTAAAAGGCTTAATGTGGAATTTGATATAAATTGTTTTATTGACAACAGTTAAAGAAACACTTTTTAACCATTTATGTTTTCTTGGCAGTTTACACCTAGTTATGCTGGTATTAATATTCAGTGGTATAATGGTTCTTTGTCATTGCTAATCTTACATGGTTTTAGGACTACATTATTATATGTTTTAGTGGTCCTTTTTATATACGTTATATGTCACATACAGTTGTGTCCAAAATTATTCAACCCCCACTGAAATTGAGTGTTTTGGCCAGTTTGACATTGCTTTTGATCATTCAGTCATCTTGCTTACATTTACATTAAAGAGGCACTTGTAGGTCAGACAAATATAACATAACAGTTATAATGAAATAACCACAAATGTCTTTTCTGTGCTCACAGCATTATCAGTTTTATTCAACCCCCCAAGTGACATTCAATCTTAGTACTTAGTACAGCATCCTTTTACAGTTATAACAGCTTTTAAACGTGAAGCATAGCTTGACACAAGTGTCTTGCAGCGATCTACGGGTATCTTCGCCCATTCTTCATGGGCAAAGGCCTCCAGTTCAGTCACATTCTTAGGCTTGCGCACTGCAACTGCTTTCTTTAAGTCCCACCAGAGGTTCTCAATCGGATTTAAGTCTGGTGACTGCGATGGCCACTCCAAAATGTTCCAGCCTTTCCTCTGCAACCATGCTCTAGTGGACTTGGAGGTATGCTTGGGATCATTGTCCTGTTGAAAGGTCCAACGTCTCCCAAGCCTCAGGTGTGTGACGGACTGCATCACGTTTCCATCCAATATCTCCTGGTACTGAAGAGAATTCATGGTACCTTGCACACGCTGAAGCTTCCCTGTACCTGCAGAAGCAAAACAGCCCCAAAGCATGATTGACCCTCCACCATGCTTCACAGTAGGCAAGGTGTTCTTTTCATCATAGGCCTTGTTCTTCCTCCTCCAAACATAGCGTTGATCCATGGGCCCAAACAGTTCTAATTTTGTTTCATCAGTCCACAGAACACTATCCCACAACTTTTGTGGTTTGTCCACATGGCTTTTGGCATACTGCAGTCGACTCTTCTTATTCTTTGGAGACAGCAAGGGGGTACGCCTGGGAGTTCTGGCACGGAGGCCTTCATTACGCAGTGTGCGTCTTATTGTCTGGGCTGAAACTTCTGTACCCACATCTGACAAATCTTTTCTCAGTTCCTCAGCAGTCACACGGGGACTTCTCTCCACTCTACGCTTCAGGTAGCGCACAGCAGTCGAAGTCAGCATCTTCTTTCTGCCACGACCAGGTAGCGTTTCAACAGTGCCCTTTGCCTTGAATTTGCGAATGATGCTTCCTAAGGTGTCTCTTGGTATGTTTAACATCTTTGCAATCTTCTTATAGCCATTGCCCTTCCTGTGAAGAGAAATCACCTCTTCTCTTGTCTTCCTGGACCATTCTCTTGCCTTCACCATGTTTGTAACCACACCAGTAAATGTCTAGAAGGAGCTGAGTATCACAGTCATTTTAAAGCTGCCTAATTGGTGCTTATTATGCTTGATTGCTGCTCGGTGACATCCACAGGTGTTTTCAATACCTGATGGAAAGCACCTGTATGAACCTCTGTTCTTCAGAGTGGTAGTCTTTAAGGGGTTGAATAATTGTGGCAATGAAGAAACCACATAAGAACCATTTACTACTGTATTACATAAACAATTGATGTCATTTTAGTTGCATTTGGGTAGTTACAACGTCCTTGTAGGATTTGATTCTGAATACAATTCCAAATGTACACTATAGTCCCTAAACCCCTTTACAGCATTGGGGGTTGAATAATTTTGGACACAACTGTACAGTGGACCTTTCAGATTAGACAATTTTACATTATCATTGACTTATTTGTATATTTTTATGATTACTCTTATTGTGTTGTTCTTATCTATATGCACATTATTATTGCAAATTTTACTATATTTTATCATATAGTAACATGTGTATATTTAT